GGAACTGGGCCCTAAATGTCCCGACTTATTAGGCCAAAAGGGATTATGGACCATATATCTTAACCCGAATAATTTTGTGATTCTCTTACATGATCATTGTGGTGAATTTGTAAATTATATAACGGGTGTTGTATTTATTATTAGTATATAAATACGGTTTTGAATAAGTTGTAATTAACGTGTTGACGAATCTCCAATTATTTGAGTTGATAGACATTTTTTTTACAATGCTGTTTTATTGCCACTGAATGAAATAACAGTTTATTTTTGTTATAAAATAAGAAACTCCAAAAAACACATTGTCTATTGTACTTAGATTCCCACTTTATTGATTTTTTTTGGAAAAAATAAAAAATAATAATAAAATTTTCAGGTACTTAATTTATTATATGTCCACTCCAAAATTAAGTTCGAAATATAATATGTAAAATGATTTAGTGATAGTTTAAGCTAGTGATTATTAAATAGGGAAATTCTCTTTGGTAACACTGTCATTTCTACTTTTCTAAGTGGTAAACTATAATTTCCTCCCCATGCCCGATGCCCAACCTGCCCTACTACCGACGCCCAGCCTCCCCGTCCCCCACCTTCTCTCTTTCCCTTTACCCCGACCCCCATTTCCCCCACCCCGAAAACCCTTAAACCCACCTCAAACCACCGAGAAAACCACTCCTCCTCCCCGAAAAACCTCCTCCCTTGTATATCGACTACGGAAACCCTAAATCCCACCCAAAACCATCGGTAAACCCAACCTGTTTTCTGGGTTTGGTTTCGAACCCCAAAACAGGTTTGGGTTTTTTCTGGTGTTTTTGGGTGGGTTTAAGGGTTTTCGGCCGGCGAATAGGAGAGATAGGGCGTCGCCGGCCGTGGGGGAGGTTGGGCGTCCGCCGACTGAGGTTGGAGCGCCTGGCCGCCGGCGAAGGAAAGTTTTGGTTTTAATTTTGAGTGGTGGTTGATGATGACGGTTAAGGGGAGAAGGAGGTTGCGATCTGAGTGGTGGTTGCTGATGACGGTTCAGGGGGAGGGGGAGGCCAGCGAGTCAACGGCAGAGGGGCTAGTGTCGGTGTGGCGATGTGGGTAGGGGCGGGAATGGTGTCTGGTTGGTAGGGTGGCTTTTTTTTGTTTTAATTTTTTTTAATAAGTAAAATAATAATAATAATAATAATAATAATAATAATAATAATAATAATAATAATAATAAAATAAATTAAAAAATAACTAACTATAGTTAAATATTTAAATATACTTTATCACTAATGTATAGTTAGTTAATATAAAAAGTTTGAGTTTACCAAAGATAATAAAAAAAATTTACAATTCACCATTGAGAAAATTAAATATTACGGTGTTACCAAAGAGAATTTCCCTATTAAATATTATACAAACTTTTGTCCCAACATTGGGTATAAGCTCTTGGTAAAGTAACTGTAAATTCCACAAGGACAAAATGTGATATTGGGTGGACCTAGTCAATGAAATTTGGCAAAAATACACAACTTGGATGTTTATACCTCCCAAACATTGTACAATTAAATCAAACATATATAGTCGGTTTGGGCCAAATAGTTTACTTGGTTTACTAGGCCCAGTAGTCTTGTTGTCTACATATAATAGGGCTGACCCATACCTTATGGATGAAAGGATTACATGCATTTTGACACTACTTAGGTATAGGATTGGTAAATAAATAAATGTATAAAATAATCCTGTCCATTAACACATGATTCACAAATCACCTTGTATGATAAAAGGCCATTCTATATTTTATGGAGTTCTTGTGTTGATTATTAAAAATTAGGTCCAATTTTGAGTTTTGTCCCCGCTTGATTTTCTTCACGGTTTTAGAATAAAAGGTATAATAGTATAAAATTGGAAACAATGTAAAGATGTTTTTACAATTAAACACATGTATATTAGTTGCAGCAGTACAAAGTAAATATTATTAAACATATAATATCTAGGAAATGTAACTTTGAATTATAGAATGCACATAAGGGTAGTTGATAACAATATATGCTTATGAAACAATACAAAAGGTGTTTGATGAGATTCGGATTCAAGATCTTTTAGAGAAGAATCAATAAATGAATAATTAATGCATGGCAATTTATAGAATTTATTCAGTTGTTTGTTTAGAGGTATAGAAGGGGCGGGACAAGGATAAAATATAAGAATAGAAGAAGTATAGTGTGTGTTTTGAGGGATGTGCATTATAAGAATTTTTAGGATAGGAATTAAAACACCTACTTATCCCTCTATGTCTCTGATTATGGTGGGTGGTACAAGAGGAAGGAATAAGAAATGGGTTTCAAAATAACAAAGTACGCATAATGAAATTCTTAAGGGTAAAGGAGAAAGAGTAGAAGTTAGTAAGGCTTTTTTGCAGATATTCAATACTTATCCCCAATTTGATTCCCATACTGACCAAACATGGAAGGACAAAAAATATATCCCTGGTCCACCTATTTATCCCATATCATTATCATCCCTTCTTATCCCTCTAATTTTCATGTCTCCAAACAAACGCGCTGCAAGAGAATCCTAAGACCTTGAATAATTTAGAATTTGTTGAAAATATAAATTACAATTGGTAGCGCTTTTTTATCCATAACATAATGTACTCTGATATTAAATATTCTTATCTGAAATCTGTAAAACCTTGAATAATTTGGAAAAATCGATTAACTCTTTGGGGACTCGACATATGAAATAAGAATAAAATAGAATTATCATAAAATATTAGTAAAGATGATGATAATAATAATAATAATAATACAATTCGTGTCTTTAAAAAAAAATTACTAAAAATCAAACGTTGGTAACCTCGTTAAAGTACAAAGCTGGACACTTGTCTTATTATCATAAATGCTTTATGACATTCATCTTTTTGTCATCAGTATTTGTCAGTTCCATAGAATTATCCAAAGATAGAAAAAGTACACTTTTGGACTATTCGTTATAAAACTAGAATTGGTTCCTTGCCATGCAGGGTTAATTTCAGTATTATTGAAAAAAAGGGTTTGAACTTAAATATCGGTTTTTTTTTATTTTTTTATTTTTAAATGCAACATAATCATGTAAACACTGATTAGCTAAATAATGACCGGTTATTTAAAGGTGATCTGCTCTGCTATATTCAGCTTCTAACTGATCTGGTCTGCTTCTATTTGCTCTGTCGTGCTCTGCTCTGCCCTACTCTGCTATGAATAAAATTATTAATAATAATAATCATAATAGTAAATAAATCTGATCCGCTGTAATATGATCCGCTCTTCACAGAACCTCAAAAGAAAATGGTCTTCAGTACGTTAAATTTAAAATTGTCACTAAGGTGTTAGCTAATAGGTTGAAATTGGTGCTTTCTTATATTATTCATGAGTCACAGAGTGGTTTTGTTCCGGGATGTTTGATCACAGATAATGTTTTGATGGTTTATGAATGCTTTCACTATCTCAGAAAGAAAAAAACAGAAAAGAAAGGCTATCTGGTTCTTAAGCTTGATATGAGTAAAGCTTATGACAGAGTGGAGTGGGCTTTCTTGGAAAAAATGATGCTGAAATTGGGGATGCCAAAATCTTTTGTGGGGTTGATTATGAATTGTGTTAGTACTTCGTCTTTTGATGTTCTTGTCAATGGTCAACCTTCGAGAAAGTTTAAGCCTAGTCGGGGGCTTAGACAAGGCGATCCCATTTCTCCTTTCCTATTTATTATTTGTGCGGAGGGCTTATCTGCTCTGATTCGTAATGCGGAGCGCATGAATCATATTCATGGGGTGAAAATTGGTAGATATGTGAAACCAATTTCTCACTTATTTTTTTGCAGATGATAGTCTCCTTTTTGTGAGGGCTACGAAAGAGGAAGTGGAAAATGTGCTCAGAATTCTCTCTACTTATGAAGTGGATTCGGGTCAGAAACTGAATATGGATAAATCAGAGGTGTCATTTAGCCGAAAAAATGATCAAGAATGGAAACATATGCTTCAGATGAAGTTATCTTTTAAGGCTGTCGAAGGACATGACAAATATCTTGGTTTGCCGACCTACATTGGTAGCTCTAAGAAACAGGTTTTCAAGAATATTCAGGATCGGATTTGGAAGAAACTAAAAGGGTGGAAGGAGAAGTTCTTATTTCAAGCCGGAAAGGATGTTTTGATTAAATCCATTGCTCAAGCAATCCCGACTTATACAATGCAATGCTTTGCGATCCCGGATAGCATTCTTAATGTTGTTGAAAAATTGTGTCGTCAATTTTTTTGGGGTAAAAAAGGTGAAGAACGGAAGATTTGTTGGGTTGCGTGGGATAAATTGTACAACTCAAAAAATCAAGGGGGTCTTGGCTTTCGGAACATGAAATTTTTTAATAAGGCTCTCCTTGCAAAATAAATGTGGCGCATTCTCTCCAACGAAGATTCTCTCGTGGCAAAGGTTCTCAAAGGCAAATATTTCCCTCACAAGACTTTATTGGAGGCAAGAGTTAGTCCGAATGCTAGTTACACTTGGAGATCGATTTTAGGAGCTCGGGATGTCCTTTTGAAGGGGGTTAGAAAGAACATAGGAGATGGGACTTCTATTAATATTTGGAGAGACCCATGGATTCCAAATATCCCTGGTTTTACAGTAGGGTCGAGCCAAGGGGAAAATTCTATTGACATCAATTCTGTGCGTCAATTATGGAGTAATAGAAGTTGGGATCTGGATGTGTTGAAAGATAACTTTTCTGAAGCAAAAGTGAGCAATATTCTGAGCATTCCAATACCACAATTTGACCACAAAGACTCGTGGACCTGGCATTACACCAAGGATGGAAATTTCTCGGTGCGAAGTGCTTACCATATGCTAATTGAGGATCAGAAAAGAGGAGGGGCGTCGTCATCTAATGGTGGCTGCTTTTTCGATTGGAAGGCTATCTGGCGTGCGGAGTTACCTCAAAAAATTAAATTTTTTGCTTGGCGTGCAATTAGAGATGTGGTTGTTGCTAAGTGCCATCTTGCATGAAGAGGTATGGTTGTCGATCCCCTTTGTCCTTTATGTGGTGAGAGTGATGAATGTACTCTGCATATGCTGGTGAAGTGTAGAGAAGCAAAGATGATTTGGTATATTTCGCCCCTACGCTTAGAGGTGGAGAGGTATGATGGGGAAACTTTCCATGATTGGTGCTGCTCTGTCAGGAAGATATTCAAGGAGGTAGCTTGGTGGGATATTTTCTGGAGTATTGCTTGGGGGGTGTGGTTGAAGCGTAATAGGTGGTGTTTCGAAGGGAAGAGATATGAAATGTCTGAAGTTATTCATAGAGCTGTTGGCATTGTTGGGGAATTTGAGCAGGCACAGGCCATTAGCAACATCAATCCTCCTCCTCCAGCCTTCGACGTGAGTTGGAAGCCTCCAATGGAGGGTGTGATTAAGATTAATTCTGATGCAGCAGTGTTCTCTCCAAGTGGGGTGGGTCTTGGTGGTGTTATGCATGATTATGTAGGTGATGTGGTGGTCTCGACTTGTCTTAAGCTGGAGGGTAAGTTTGAGGTTGATGTAGTTGAAGCTCTTGCCATGAGACATGCTCTAAACATATAGCTCTGGAGTCTGGGTTTTGACATGTGTGTTTGGAGACCGATTGCCTGAAGTTGCATAATCACCTAGTGAAAAGAATCGTCCCTAGTACTGCCTTTGGGATGCTTGTGAAGGACATTCTTCAACTCACTCTTTCTTGTCATTCAATTTCTTTTTCTTTTGTGAGGAGGAGTGGTAATTATGTTGCTCATAATCTTGCAAAGCTTTGTATTTCTTTTAATGAGCTTAGAGTGTGGATGAAGGAGTATCCTTGTGATGTAACCGAATTTGTTTTGGCTGATCGGAGCCACATTTGATTGAATAAAGAGCTTGCTCCCCGTCAAAAAAAAAATTTAAAAATTTAAGCATTTGTTTAAATTATTTTTTTTCTATGTATACGGTAATGTAAAAGTGTTATTTTTCTTTTTAACTAATTGAATATATATAAAGCTTTGTACTAATCATTTGAAGATGACCCTATTATTTCGTTTAAAACCAACCAACCTCAAATAATATTATTGTAATCAAAATTCCAATAACATCTTATTTCTTATTATACCTTTCTACTTGAATAAACTAATATTCAAATTTCAATGTGTGTGAAATTATTTTTTGAAACTTTGTTCAAAACACATTGTTTATTAAGTAATAGTTATCAATCAATTAGATAAGTTACCATTAAAGTCAATTACATGTAATAAGATTTTTTTTTTCGTCATTTAAACCATATTTAAAACATGATCCACAGAAATCACAGTAAAAATATATAGAGTATATTTTTTTGGACACACTAGCAAATGACTCGTGTCATTGCTGTTGTGTCTTTTAGTATATAGTTATGGAAGATGATTACTGATTGGTCGTTGAAATCCCTACACACTGTACAAAACTGTAACAATTGTTTATTTTAAATTTTTTTTTCTTATTACTTAATATCCCGTAATTGAAGTTGTTGTTTTCTGACATTTCCCTATAATACCCCTAAGCCAACAAGCTAAGTGAATTCCAAAACTAATAACTAATAGCAACATCATTGGAAAGCTATTTTGACAATTAGCTTGTCATTCCACATACACTTTTAATCTAATTATCAATTTCGCTACTTTTTGCTTCAATGCCTACCTATTAGCTTAGTAGTAATTGTTGGATATAAAATACATGGAAAGTGGTTAATTGGTGTAATAAACAATTTATTTTGGCAAGTTTAATTCTCAAGAAAATTAGCTTGGCAAAGCTAATTTGCTTAGCCAAGCTAATAGAGTGTTCTAGGTCTAACGGTCAATCTAGTAGATTTGTAATTATTGAATTTTCAAGCAACTCCCCTAGCTACAATCCTTGGAGTTGCTAGAAGTACCCAAAATCGTTTAAAATTTAAACCAATTTTATCGGGTTTTTCCCCATACGCCCCTGAGATTTTTGTTTTTTCACCATATACCCCTTAACTTTTTTAAATTCATCATATAATCCTGAGTTTTCATAAAAAATACACCATATACCCTTGATGACTAATGATTGTTAATTTTGTCAATCATTAGAGTTAATTATGAACCGAAACCACTGTAGATATATTCCCCAAACCACCTACATTCCTGTAACCACCCCCAAAACCATCATAAAATTCCTTTTCTCATCCTCAAAATCAATCATACGGATATGGTTATGGAGATTTGGAGTGGTTTTGGGGTCTAGAAAAACGAGATAAGTGGTTTTGTGATGAGGGGGAGAGATCTAAGGTGGTTTGAGGTATACTTAATCAAATTCTACTCATCTTATTCTTATTAGGGGTATGTAGTGAATTTTTGTAACAATTTAGGAGCATATGGTGAATTTGAAAATTTTCATGGGTACATAACGAATAAACAAAAAACTTAGGGATATGTAGTGAAAAAAAAAATATGCTCTTAATTAAAAATAAAATATAATTTTTTCACAAACCACTTTTACTTTAATTAATAATGAATAACACCATGTTGAACTTTTTGAAAGATAACTACATATAAGTATTGTAGTAAAAAAATACAGGTTTAACTTTGTATGTGTAGACACCCATTTGTGTCTCCCCAAAACCAAACCCAGTGATGAGTACCTTTCGCGTCGAATCATAATCGAATGAAACGAAAGTGTGGAAAGGTCTAGTGTTGCGGAAAGTTTTTATTTTCTTTTCTCTTCTCTCTGTTTTTGAAAACTTTATTTTAAAAAAACAGTCAATCCAGTTTGGTTGGTCCAGGATATGGGTCCAATAATGGTGTAGTTGAATGGGGCTTGCAAAGACCTTTCCAATGATATATTATAAGCCCAATTCCGATGAATATTGAAGAAGTTATGGCCAATTTACTAAACTGGGCCAGGTTTGAGCTTTATATGCGGCCCAATGATATAGGGGAGGGCCTAATATGATTTATCATTCCTAATGCAATTAGGAATGGTTTTAGTCTTCTAGATTCTTCTAGGAGGTTCTTTTCGTTCCTAATTCAATTAGCATTGATAAGTTGACTTTGTTGACTTTTCAGAGTTTTAATCAAAATCAAATAGCATTTTCAAAGAAATTATATTATTTTATCCTCCAGTACGGTAAATTTATTAGTTTTTCGAAAACGCGTCGAAATTAAGCTTGGCATCCAACCCCAAGCCTTGGCGCCTGACGCTAGCCATTGGTGCTTGGCGCCAACTAGCCAGGGTTGGCGCCAACCTCGTTTTGCGTGCGTCAGACTTTGTTTTGTTAAATTATCTTTTTTGGCTGATTTTCTCTATAAATATCGTATTAAAAACTCCGTTTTCATTCATCAATTATCTTCATTCATAAATCATTCATCTCTTTCATTCATCTTTCCAAAAACTTGGTTTTTCTCATACAAAATTCCGTATTCACAAGATTTAGAAACACCTAGCCATATTCAAAGTTGCCTTTGCCCTAAACGTGAAAGGTTTTAATTTCTAAGGGTTTGGTCCCAAATCTCTCTTTCAATTATTTAATTTGATTGTTTGATTATTATTTTCCTTGAAGTTACTAACGTGTGTATTTTGTTATTAGAAAGAGGTACGAGGCATCAAAGTAAGTGCTTTAATTGATTAATTGATATTATGATGTAGAAATCATGTTTACATTGTTATTATGATATTCCTAGTATCATGTCTAGGTTATTTTTAATATTAAACATGATTGCTATGATGTCTTTTGTTCTCTTCCTAATATTTATGATTGTTAGTATCATGTTAGGGTTAAAGATTTGATTTTTAATGTTTAGTGACATGCTAGGGTTTGTTATTAATCTGGTTAGTATCATGCCTAGGATCTTACTTTTATTAAGCTTTAACATGAATATTGTTATAATTGTGATAATTATGATTATTATTAATTATGATTCCTATGATTATGATATTCGTTATTGTTCATGATTATTATTTTATTGATGATTATTTAGCATGTTCCTTGATACTTATTCTTTATTGCTTGATCATCGCCTTTATTGCATATTTAAAGGGAATTGGTACTTGTAATCACGCTTAATAAGATATTAATAATCTTGTTAGGGTTAATTTGATTATAATTTCAAGTGATCACCAATAATAGTTTATTTGTGCATTATTATTCAACCAACATAGATTAAACAGGTTTAGGGTTAATCCTATTGATTGCATGTTGATCAGGTAGCGCACATGAATACGAGCAGAATAAAGTAGAGGCCTATTATTAGGGCAGGTTCAATCTCTTTTAGGTTGGATTTGTACCTTCATCCCCGAACCCTTATTTAGTTCTAGACCTTACGGAGTTGACGATCTCTTGGATCGTTAAGGGGTGTAACCTTCACCTCGTGAACGGTTTACAAGTTCCTTAAAAAACTTGTTGGCGACTCTTTTGCTCTATCTTCTTCCCTTTTGGACGCCACCGTACTTTAGTGTATGATCACAGTGGGGTTCAAGCTAGTGGGATTTAAAGGCTTGAAATTTATTCCCTACAGTATGATTATTATATTACGTTACATTTGTATATTCTAATGGCCTCCCTTAATACTCAAGTATTTAGTTTTATATTTCCAAATATAAATATTATTTTGAAGTCAAACTTAATCCCATTCTGTGAACTAAAACTTTGTTAAGTTTATTAATTCCTCAAATGTGAACAAGGTAGCAGCGCTCTTTTTCTGGTCCACGACCCTAGTAACTTTCAATCAACTTGCAGCAAGGTGTACGGTTCGAATCCTACTTCTTACTTTAAATAAAAAAATTTAATTTTTTAAAATTTTTGTTTTTAATTTTTTCCCCCAAAAGTCCTTAGTCCTTGAAACCCTAACCTATTGTCATTGTTTAACTCCTACTCACTCTTTCTCCTTCCTCATTCGGCGGCAAGCAAAAAACTTCTCACCTTCTTCCCTTTGTTCAGGTAAAACGCTTTCCCTCTTGAATTTTTGTTTTCTATGATTGTGTTCCTCATTTCCGTAGATAACTTTTTTTCCTTGTCATTGTACATGCAACAATTGATGGGTTTTTTAATTTAACTAAATTTGGTCAAGTAATTACATAAAACCGTTTATAAATGAGGTAAAATGGTTAAATTTTGTAAGTTTATTGTTAGTTTAGACGATTTTGTCATGTTTAATTCACACAATTTGGAATACGTCTTGCAGATGTTCAAAATTGAGCTTGAATTTGAGAATATGATACTATTATCCTAAGATTGTTTGAGTTTTGTAGAATTTTGGGGAGTTATATTGAGGTTTGATGGATTTGTTTGTATGAGTATATATGTTAGTATGTTCTTTGATAAAGCATCCGAAGAATATTCCCTTTTATTGTTGTAGTAGAATGGTGGATCCTTTTCCCGTTTTATGTAATACAATTAGGAAAAAAATTGTTGGATAATTCAATTTTTGGTAGTCCTATAACATACATGTAGATTATGGTCTCAAGTACAGTCAATTGTGAGTATTTATGGTAGATTTTCTATTTTTGGATGTCAAACACTTAAAATGTATGGTGAATCTTTAGTTGAGTATTTCTAGGAGTAGTCCTTGAAATGTGGATGA